ACTTGAGCCCTGATTATGCACTCCTGTCACAGCTTGATCAGCTCTATCTGAGTGTATTGCTGACTGCAGTCGAACTTAACGAGAAGCAAAATGCAGTGGGATACTTGGAGTATTGAATATTTGAGTCCCTATTTAATTCAGTCCCTAAATGGCGACCGCGAATTTCTTCTAAGCGGTTTTGAAAAGTGTCCATTACGAACTTACCAAAAATAGTCGAAAAGCTCCAAATAAATAAAAAAATTATGCTTATTTTCGCGTGGAAATGTTGGTGGCAAGCAAACATAAGAAATAGGAAGAAAGGGCGCGGGCAGATGGAAGTTTCATGCATTTTCAAGACGAAAAACAAGTACACATTCTTATTTCTTTTTTTAAAGTAAGTGTTGGGTTGCCATTGATGTCCGATCTAATTAAACTAGACCGGTCTTTTTAATTTGACGAACACATTTTTTTTTTTAACTTGGGAAATAGACTTTTTTTTTCGAAAACGTTCGATAACTTAGTTCCGGGATGAACGATGCAGTGCTTGCAAAATTCGCAGGGTCCGGGGTTCGATTCCCACTCAGCACCTTAGCGAATCTCCTTGGGTGCGATAAATGGTGCCTAGTTATAAATATGTACAAATTATTAGGACTTATTATACATTATATGTGTCTTAGCTGTTATGCATTGTCTAATATTGGCTGTGCATGCTTTAGGTTGACTTCGAGTTCATGCATGGAACACGTTTTTCACACTGGGGCGTGACAGTTTTTGTGTGCCATCCAGCGCTTAGACAAATTCTGTGTTAAACCAACAGCGCGGGAGTGTAGATGAGTGAAACACCACTGGAAAGATTTTTTTTTTATTATGAATCTAACAAAACTAAAACGCAATATACTAACTCTTAAACTGTTTTAAATTGCAACGCTTTTGACAGTAGACGGACAAAATATTTCATTGGGCAGGATCTATAATTCGACGATCGGTTCACATCACAACAATAAACCAAAACGTAATTTCTAAAATAAAGACATTAACTGAACTTTCACTATTAAGAAAGACCTTTAAAAAACAGTCCCACGTCTTGACATAATTTTTTTTGTGTGCAAAAACGCTATCTAGAAAAATCACGACTCGTACGAGGTGCATATGTTCAAAGCTCTAAGTGGGATTGTTAGAAATTGTTTGCAGAGGTTATTTCTGTAAACACGCAACATCTAAGCAACAATGCTTTCTTCTACGTCAGTTTCCCAATATGACTTTGCCTTAGGATATAAGAAAGAAGTAAATAATCAGATAGCAACATGTGTTTCGCCCCTAGTTATGACGCATTATGTGCGCTCAATGAACATGCGACAGATCATCGTTGGTAAAGCTGCATCTTTATACTTCTTGTTGCGAAGCAATCCGCTCCGAAATACGCAATACAATGGCAATTTTGATACTTTCTTACAGGCAGACATTCACACCCTTTATAGAAATGCCTGTGCAGTCACTACATTTCCCATTTTGGTACAATTTAAACGAATAACTGTGCGAAAAACAGAAGCAAGCTCACAGTTTCGAAGCCTGATATATTAAAGGATTCATTTTATAGAAGGCAAGTATTCCAAAAGATGAAGATACTGATTATAAGAAACAAGGTTTGTAATGCAAACGCTTGTAAACGCCAAGATACTTTTACGGTGAAAGATGCTTCGATAATAATGACACCCCATCAGTAATTATTGACAGATGACTATTATTAGGATATTACGATGTTCTGAAGATCAATAAATATACGAAACAAATTTGTATAATATCGCCAACAAAAATGACGTACGAACCCGCTGTCGTCAAGCGGGAACACCAAAACACAAAGAATGAATAATAATAATAAATCAAGTTTGCGCTCTTTTAAATAACAGAAATAGACACAAAAGTACATCACATGCATTAGATATTGGTCAGTCTGAAAAATTCAAGAACTTGAATGCAACGATAACGCACAGGTCAACTGAAGAAAATGTAAACAGTAAACAAGGGCGCTGCATTTAAGTTGATATAAGAAATCTAAACGCTCTGAACACAACGCGACTCACAAAGTAATTGGGAAGCGTTCCACGGTTTACACAGTCTCGTTACTTATATACTCCCTTTCACGATAACATGGCAAACTGTGGAGGTTCGGCCCCCGTGACCCAGTTAGAACGTCGGAGCGAGGCACGTGACATCACGTCACGGGAGCATTTGTGTCAATGCGCCAAGGAGCGGACTGTCGTCTGCTGGCCAAAGTCGTCTGCTGCGAAACAAACCAACTTCGAACGAACCTTCACCGCCTCGACATTGCTTTCCGCTAAAGTAGCAAGCTCTTGGGGAACAGAGTATGAGACAACAATATGCTCAATTCACCCGCGAATCTGTGGTGGGTGCTAATGTCTGCGCGATGTTTTGAGCGGAAGCGGTCGATTACACGCAACGTTGATTACACAGCCGAGGATCGGCAACGGCCACGGCGCTACAGGGAGAAAAAAAAAAAATCGGGAGCGGATACTGATGTGGTGTCACTTTTTTGGTTTCAGTATAATTGAAACTTATCAATACGCCGATGTTTATTACTTTGTTTCTATATAATCTCGACAGAGATTAAATGACGCGAGTCTAATTGCTGTTAAAAGAAAAAGGTACCCAGAACAACATTTTTTCGCGGGCGGCGCTCTTGCTGTGGCTGTAACGGGGCCTCCCTGGTCTCAGCCATATATAGTGTTATCACGTGACTTTCTCCGACGCTCTTATTGGGTCGCGGGGGGACGCTCCTATGCTCGTGAAACGGTGCATTAGCGGCGAGATGTTTCGGTGGCGCCCTCGTTCGGTTACCTTTCGTAACATCATTACCTTGTGAACAACAAGCTCGATGGTGTTTGTAATGTGCATGGTAGAAGCCTGAAATCATAGCGCTCTCAAAGCAACACTGCCAACACCGTCAAAATTGAAGTTCTTACTTTCCTCTTATTTCCGTCGATGAGACAAGCTTTGCTGACGTCATAGTCAGCATTCGAGCAATTGTGGTAGGCCGCCCACAGCGACGCTTTCGATCGCTCACGTCGCCAATAGGAGCGTATGTAAACAGGGAATATTATACTTCGTTTCAGCTTCGGTCCGAGCACGGCCGATGTTATGAGCCGAAGGGCCGATCAAACAGCGAAAGAGGCACAACGTCATGGCGTGCTCTTTGCAGTTGATAGGACCAGCGTGCTCTCTGTGCGTGCTCCTTCGCCGGCTAGTCCTATCATGCGCAGAGCGCACGCCATGACGTTGCGCTCTTTACGCTGTTTGATTGGCCCTTTTGCTCAAAACATCTGCCGCGCTCGGACCGAAGCTGAAACGAAGTACAGCGACTTTTAGTGTTCCATGTGAGAGCAAATGCAAGGGATAAACGTTTGCGTTAGCGTTGCGTGCTTCATGGGTGCGCATGCGCAAAGTCGCCATGCGTCAGTCCAAGGCCTCAGTTAGGGCTCCTCGCACGCGCAGTGTGGAACACGCTACGCTAAAGCAAACACACAAGGCTTGCGTTCGCTCGTACACGCGATACTAAAACTCACACTTAATTCGATAGTTACTGACATAATTCAGAAGCACCGGGCGTAGGACGTCCGAGCTTCCTATAATTGTTTCTCAGCCAACAGGCGAAACGTCATGCTCAATATATCCATGCAGATCGCGTCACTTGGTAGCAGGTATTAGGGGCTTTTCGCTCTCGTCGCTGATATTGCGACTTAAAGTTCCATCATTTGTTACGTCGTATATATTCCTGTTTTTTTTTTGTTTTTTTTTCCATTGTTATTGTTCTGTCAATCATTGCTTTTTTTCCTCAATTTTCCTTGAACGCCATTTTGTCATGGCTTTGATACCATCAGGGCTTCGTCGGCTCTCGCCCTTTCGCCGCAATGGAAGTTCCTGCGACAATCTATCCCGCTGTTTACTTACAGTGTACTGCTGCAAAACGGCTGACTTCCAGACGAGCTACACTAACACAACCTAAACCAAAAGGCCTGGACCTTTTCCCTTACACCCTCGTCACCAATGGATCCACGCCGTGCCAAACAGTTTTCGTCAGCACCGCCGCTTGCGCGTAGTGCGCGACGCTAACACGTTGCTCTTAATTTGCATCTTGCAATCAGGCACCTCTGTCAAAACCCAGACGTCTCCAGCATTATCTGTGACCCACGCTTTTATTAACAGCAATTAATTTGTCGCCATTGCATAGGTAAAAGTCACAGTTCAAGCAGGATATGTGCTTTCCCTACTTGAGTACAAAAATAGATAAGGTTCGGCATTTAGGGACAATGGCAGTAAAGTAGGCTCTTGACAGTCTCCGAATCTTTCCAGTTAGGCAGCTTTGCTGATGGCGTATCTCAGACTGCTACGCTACATGCGATTTATTCATAAAACTAGGGCTTTGATAACGAAACGACTGCACTGTTAGTGTCCCTAGTCACGTGGGATTTTTTTTTTTTTTTAATTTCGGGTGCATTTTTTGAAGATCATAGAGATTCATAGAGATGCAGAAATTCTTACTTAATGGAAACCGAACTATGGAATGTTTCCCAGCACGCTCTACAAATTTTGTAAGGAAGGTAATGCTTCAAGGATTTGGACATTATAAATTGAGCCGTTTTTTATTTATACAAAAGTACTTTCAAGAGTAACTGCTTTGAAGAGTAATTTGCGAAAGGCTACACCAATACAATTTTTTTTCTCATTTCAAAAAAAATCTGTAGGAGTTCAAGCGAACCAAACAGTCTCACTCGTAAAGCCCCTACGGGTCTTGAGGGTACGTGTCAATAAATAAATATATTTCAAATAAGAATCTTAACAAAATTCAAAGAAATAATAAATAAAATGTATTCATACAATAGGTATTGTTAAAGAACGGACCGCGGCAATTGATTCGTGCACTTGACGTCACGATCGAATTTAATATAAATACGAGCGATTATTCGAAAATATAGCATGCGTATTACGCCTTGCATTATCTAGAAATGGCCGTTCGACTTTCGACTCTTTTTTGCTTCATGGCTGCATCCATAATTCAACTTCCTGAAGCGCAGTCAAGAACAACACGGACAAGATACGATGCTGCGAAAGTAAGCACTCAGGTCCTTTTCCTGAAAACGAAATTATATTCATCTCGAGCTATTAATAGCCATAAAATAAACCTGAGGTCATATATTTTGTATAAAATAGTTGAATCTCTCAAAGAGTGTAGAATTTAATGAATCTACCAGACTTACGCAATATTGTTAGAAAAATTGTGTGCAATATTTGTCGTGCTTTAGAATACTGCACTTAAAAGTACCATACTAAAAAAGAATTCGGCAGTTCTACCGAGTGTTCGGAATATTTATTTAGAAGTGAAAAAGACAGTCAATGTATCACTATAGTGCATTACTTGTAGGCCCTTCAGTAGACAAAATTAAACGAAACTCCCGTGTGTCAAACCATTATGGGGGCGCAGCTTCAGCTGAACTACACACCGGCCGATGCCACATTAGGCTTCCTTCTTGAGATTATCACGACCTTGGTTCTGTTCTTTGTTCTGCTTGACATATTTTTTCTTTATTTGTTATCGCAGTACGAGCACTGTTTTTCTCAGAAAGCGAGAATTGAATGAGCAAGTAGAGTTTGGGCAGTATGGCATTTTTTTTAATTCGATTTGTTTTACAAAGTCGTAGAAAAACAAAGGTTTTTCTCTGCATGCTTTAGGGCAAACAAAGGATTGGAATATTTTCAGACTTTCCATCTCACCCTTGCGTCGCATGACTGTCGACTCCCATTTGTGAAGCAGAACGTCGTAACAAATCGGAAGTTGGTAAACGCCGGTCACCCAGTGGTGGTATTAGGCGCGCCTCACAATTTCCTGTCTAAAACCCTGACGGCAGAAATACGCTGAGCTCCTTGCTTATACAAAAACAAATCTGAAAATACTAGGACAGCTACTGCAAAAATCCTTCAGGTGGAAGTGTACGCCGTACTCTTCATAATACATATTAAATTGTTTTATTGATCGTGCCTTTCAACGAAATTTTACGGCCGTCGTGTTATCATTCATAGTAATTGAGTCCTTCAATACTTTGCTGGGCCCTGATCTACACAGTGCAACCAAGAGACCGGGCAATCGCCGCCTGCTCCGATTAGTCGGCGGTGTGGCGCTGACCAATCGGTGATGCCCGGCCCCTCGGTTCCGCCGTATAGATTAGGGCCCCTGGCCGGCGATACTTCTCCGTAACACTACGGAGAGCTTGGTACTGTACAATACGCGACTCTGGCGTCGGCGAGGGGGCTAAGAACCGCCAATTAGCACCTCTGGAAGTCTTTGCAACCATGTGTTTCGGAATTTCTAACACCCTCTGAATGAGCTATCCATAGAACACCGTGATGCGTCGTCGCACCAAAGGCAGTTCTTGTTAATGCAAGCCTCTTTGGCGTTGTAATCTGAATCAACTGCTGAGACTTCTAAATATACAACACTCTCCAAACTAATATTAGTTCCACTCCTTTTTCTTTTCTCGAAATGGTCGATATTTGAATGCCCCCATCGTACTCAATATTCAGCGCAGCGAGCAGCACCACCAAGTTGATGTACAGAGCCCCCTTACCCTCCATTCCCTGACTTTTTTGCCATGCAAAAGCATCGTTTTATTTGAAAACAAACGAAACAAAGTCTATTTTATCAGTTCTGTTCTTAGACATCAGTAACTATAGTAAACATTGCTTGCATACAGCGATCAATTACAGGTATACCAAAATGACGATGTACGAGAATTAAAAAAAAAAAAAAAGTAGTAATCGCCAATTCTGAATGTCTTACTCTGAGTTGAGTTGCCTAAACGAAATGGCCCCTCAGGAGGGGTGGCGCTCCTGGCGACAGCTTTGGTCGTAAATCAAACTTGGGCAGATGTTTCGTGACGAATAGTGCTATTGAAGGACTTTGTTGGTATTGAATCTTTGTGGTTTATTTTTCTCACGTGGCATCCGGTATAATTAATGCAGAAAATGCACTACACTTTTAAAAATGGAAATTAAGTCACATAAAATAATTATCACATGGCAACACACTACGAGACTTCAGCTATCACAGTGCTCTGACAGGCCTCTAACCTCAAGAAGCATTCATTATTTTAGGCAAAAGGCATCACCCTGAGTCAGCGTTACTGCAGAATACAAAGGCAGCTAATCACGGCGAACAACAGAAGTGTTCAAGTGACTGGCGAAACTCAAAGTTCAATGATACTAAAATGATTAGCTGATATCGAAGACAATTCTTTGTCGGGACATCTACCCGAAGTCTACCGAAAACGCGAGCCTTTCCTCATTGTATTTGTTCTGTTTTAGGAGCTAAGAGAGCGATTCGATCAGAAATATTATCTGATGCAGCGCTCACAGCTCACTGACAGAAAAATGGGAAATAGTGCCAAATGTGTCTCCGTGTTGAAATTGGCTCCAGTTTTTGGCGAAACTAGTATAACTGCCCAAATATCAATCAAGCACAATCGCGCTAGCGATCCCACGTGAGTAGAGCCATCCCACACATCGTAAACTCGAGTGGTGTATATGTTTTGCTTAAAGAGTCAAGATCCAACGTGCAATAAAAATATGTCATGTGACCCCAACCGATCAAGTGGAGCTCACTTCAAATATATTAGCGTCTTACATCGGTAGCAGGTTAAGAACCCAGCAACTGCTTTGCGTCTAGCGCGCACTTTTCTTCAGCCGGGCTTTGGCTGCGCGTTTGACAAAGTGTTATGCATGGCAGGAATCTCGCGCTCAAGACGCAGTGCCTACAGCGTTCTTAACCTGTCACCGACTGTGCACGTTTCCACTGTTTATAAATCACAGTACACACGTTTTTAATCACAAACACAGCAATGAACGCGAGTCGTCATGCGCTTTTATGGAAATGTGTATTTGTGGTGAGAAGCTCGCGAGGTGCGCTTCTGTTTTCCTCACTCTGGGGTAGTTAGTGCACGTGCTATACACGCAGTTATTTTTTTTTATTTTCATAGAGCATAGAAGCTTGCATTGTACGTCTTTCGCCACGTCCACACTAGCGAGAAAACGCGCGTGGCACGCCGATCGCGGCAAGTAACAAAATGTCGCCGAAGCACAGTCAGCGCCACGTGCGCGTGCAGAGACACGCCCTTTATCTTCCCGCTTAACCGATTTATCGGCGCGCCGGGCGCGTTTTCTCGCTAGTGTGGGTGGCCCTTTACACTGCAGAACATGAACTATACTCACTCTGGGTTGTGAAAGAAAAAGATCCACCAGGCGACGATACCCTAACTTCTCGCCGCAAATAGGGAGTATTCAATGGATGCCATATTCTCAGGCGCTGTTCAGAGCGGAGGTTAAAGCCTAGTTTACATACAGCGATTTTGGCCCTTAAGGGCCGCCCACACTAGCGAGAAAACGCGCGTGGCACGCCGATCGCGGCAAGTAACAAAATGTCGCCGAAGCACAGTCAGCGCCACCAGCGCGTGCAGAGACACGCCCTTTATCTTGCCGCTTAACCGATTTATCGGCGCGCCGGGCGCGTTTTCTCGCTAGTGTGGGTGGCCCTTAAAGCGGCGCGATTTTTGCCGTCGCGGCGCTCGTGCCGCAGAATTGCTGGTGCTGGCCAGAGCGCCGCGACGGCAGAAATCGCGCCGCTCTAGAGCAAAAACCGCTGCATGTGAACTAAGCTTAAGAACGAGACCACATAATGAGTTGCTAAGACTGGCGATCTTGATGGTGTGGAATGCACGTTGTAAAAGAACTGCGGGAGCTCGCCATCAGCACGCGCTCAGCATTCGCGCACACAGCTATGGCCGCCAGTGAATACTCCCTGTAAGATGGCAGCTGCGAGATGCTTTCGGTAAAGCCCCTCGATGTGTTTGCGCTTGTCTTGCAAGTAGCGTCAAATGCGCGAGTGCACGAGGCCCATGTCTCGAGCGGCCCTTGGAAGCAAATGGCGGCGCAGCACTGAAATGAGCGGGCCTTGGAAGCGAATGGCGGCGGAGCACCCGCTCATGGCACGTGTCTCGCGCGCTTCCACAACAATGGTTGGCGGTATTGTAAAAAACGCTTTTATCAAGGGGCTTTAGCTTTTTGTGGGTCGGTTTATACCTCGATACCATGATGCCTTGAATGTGGCTCGAACTGCCTAAAGCCTAGTTCACATGCAGCGGTTTTGGCCCTAGAGCGGCGCGATTTCTGCCGTCGCGGCGATTTGGCCAGCACCAGCAATTCTGCGGCACGAGCGCCGCGACGGCAGAAATCGCGCCGCTTTAGGGCAAAAATCGTTGCATGTGAAACCCGCTTAATAATGGTACGACTCCATAAACCAGGAGTCACTTCAATAGTGTAATACCCTTAATGGTCGCGAGTCCTTAATTTTCACAAATATCGCGAAATCAAAATTTCGCGAAATGAAGGGGCACCGGAAAATTTCGATCTCTAAGACTTTCAATGCAAGTGTCTGGGATTGGCGAAATTTGGTGGCCGCGATTGTGTCCCCTCTAACCGATTCACGAAAACTGGGGGGCACGAAAATGAAGGGATTTACAGTGTCTAGAACTGACCTTCTGGTTTCCTTCATCATATGCCTTGTTAGTATAGCTGACGTTTACGACATCAGAATTAGACATTTCCCATCCGGATGTTTAAATAAAAACTGCTGGAAGCGTCACAAAACCAATCTAATATTTAAAAAGATAATATCACCCTGGCACACTTTCTATAAAAGTAATGTTAACACTCCCGCGAATCGCACCAATATATTTTTTTATTATTATTATCCCAGGGGTACGCGAATTCCCGAACCAAACCGAGCCTCCGCACGGTCTTCCTCCTCTGCACGCATAAAGACGGGAACCTGACCTTCCTATTCCAGCTTGAGCAGTCATGATGCCTCGTCCGGGCAACGGGTGCGACGTGTTTTATCGTTGCTGAAGCAATCACAAATAGATGGCTACAGTGAGTTGCGCTTTTTACGCAACTTGATTGGTCACATTGACTCGTAGCGTTGGCTGCTTCTGGACGTAAGTTGAAGCGAAGTATAGGTCTTCCAACGTGCAGGAAGGCTACTGTTACCTCGATTCATTGCGGCAGCGGCGACGTAGCCATAATGATTGATCAGATTAGCGTATTGAAGGGTTAGCGCCCAGGTTCGCGGCTCCTGCCCAGGCTTCGTCCGGACGTTTGCTGTCCAGCGTCAATACTCATCGCATAACATTATGGCATCCCGCTAAAAAAAAAAAAAAAAAATAGATACTTGCACAATGTTTTCGGGCGTTTCAAACATTAAGCAATTTACTCCCCATTGAACTCTCAGGTTAAATGAAATGCGAACGGTGGAACGCGTGGCTGTCGGTACATGCTGCGCCTCCTGGAGGCCTCTTGAAACTGATAAAACTGCGGGTTGGAGAGTAGGGTGCTGCGAGGGTGTGCGTCCTACTCCGATGTGTCTGACCCTCGCGCAGCACAACCCAGGCTTCAACGCTGCGCCGGTGATGTGCTCGAAGTTCCGTCGCAGCCACTTATAGTGGCTCAGCATGAACCATGCGAGAAAGCTCGCCGCTCGCAGCAGGAAAGCTCCGCTCGCAGCGCGTGACTGTGGAGCATTACCGCAGCGTCATGCTCCATCCTAACTTCCGCAGTTTTGTTCTTTTCCTAATATGCGTTGTCATTTTCTCGTGAACAATATAGCAGAAACTTCGCAAAATTCGCCAGTCGGGATAACAAGAGTGGACCCTGGACGGCTGCTGATGCCTCAGTGAAGTCCATCACTCGGCAGACTTTTATATATCAGCTTCCAGCGCCCGCCCTGTGTCTTCTCTAATTCTTGTGTCTTTTGTATGGCGCTGGGGTTGCCAAAATGCAGGTCCACCAGCTCCCGCATTTGCCAAAGATTTGAAAAAAATGCTGTAACTCTATCACTGGCATTTTGCAGGCAGCCAGAATATCGTTCAGCGCGATCATCAAATGATCACTTTGTGTTTGAGAAGTGCGATAAAATAGTTCAAGCAGTTTTTGAGCCTACGGAAGACGTGTGGAGCTTGATTGACGACAGTTATCAGAACCACACAGACGTCCTCGTGAAGGACCTAGAATGCATGGCTTCAACAAAATAGGCAAACAGCGTGGACGGGAAACGAGGCGTTAGTTTCCAGGTGGTATGTGTGCAAGAAGAGATAATGGAACAACCACAAATTCTGCAACAGGGTGTGGGCCAAAACTGTAAATTCAATAACATCGCAAAAAAAATAATTACTTTGGCCCAATATTTTGGTTGGTATTTCAGCCATGTTACTTGGCGTGGTTTGCGAATTTTCAGGAAATTCGGGGTCTATAAACAGAACGCCGGAGTACCCCTTTAACAGTGATATATCACAGGGACAGTGATATATCTTCAAATACAGCCGAGATCGCAAGTTTAGCTAAACAAAGAGAAACCTCTTTAATATGGTGTTCTTAGTTCATTAAACATATTTACAGAGCATCTATATAGGCACCTCTAGGATAGGTCCTTTTGGAATGGGCGAATGAGCCCGCTCTCTTGGGTGGCGAGCATATGCCACGCACGGTGGTTCGCGAACTTATTCGCCGCCGACCACAGAGATTTTTCTTATCGTGTGACTGAAGTATATGATGGAATTATGTTAATGTGTCATCTCCTAGCAGATCACCACTTGTTCATGCCAGAATTTATGCTTGTTAAAGCACCTAACGTCTCGACTGATTAATAAAATGTGTTGCTTTACACGTGTCTTATTGATACCTAGTTTAAGATCCGCAGGAGAATAGATTGGGAGACAGTTAACTTCATAATTTAGAGTTGCAAACTGTTAAGCAATTGGCAAACTTTGTGTCCCTGATTTAAAAAAAAATTAATTGATAGTTTGCCCCTGATTAGATCAATTAATGGACAGGAACAGCATAAATACTTATTTTTTCATTAAACTTCTTGACTTTTGTAAGACAACGACGTGAATTGTCTTTTTTAATGCAGTTACACTGGGTGAGACTACCTAGCCTATTTACTTTCCTTCTTAGCCGCAACATGCAACATATGTCGGGGACTTATAAAAGGTTACTAAAGCTGTTCACGCAATCTCGACGGATAAAACTGCGCACTATTGATGCCACTGGCACGAGTAAAGGCCCATTCACATGTATGCGTTGGAGCGCGGTGCGTTCCGCATCGGCAAGTGGCTGTAGAACGTTGCGGAGAGCGTTTGCGCAAAGCTTGTAAACACATTCGCATTTTGCATGCAGTCCACCGCAGTTCACAGCCAATAAGAATCCACTATCTCACGATCATCTGGTGGGCTAGTTGGTTGATCATATTGTTGAATTAACAGCGCAAATACGACAGGAAGGAGAGATAAGGGAGACAGGATAGAGTCCTGGGACGACGTGATTGAGTCCTGGGACGACGTGAATAGAAATTCCGGTAGAAAAAAGAAAGAGGAAGTTCCTCTTTCTTTTTTCTACCGGAATTTCTATTCACATCGTCCCAGGACTCAATCGATTTCAACAAGTCATTTAAGCGACCAGCTTAAAGCTTGGTATTCTTAGCAATTCATTTTCAGGCAACTCAAGCTATAGCATATGTTTTTGCGGGTTTTTATTATGCATGTTTTAAAAGCATTCTTCGATTCTTCTTCCTCTTTCTCTTCTTATTAAACGTCAGTTGTTAGTTCAGCGCTCTATCCTGTCTCCCTTATCTCTCCTTCCTGTCGTATTTGCGCTGTTAATTCAACAATAAGAATCCACTATCTTTGCCTGCGTCTTACGGGAAGTGAAATCCCCATCAAGACGACGGTTCCCGGCGACAGCGTTGACGCGGCTGTTCATTTGGGACAATCCCGCTGGCATCAGCAACTTCTGTCCAGCTTGCACCCTCGCAGCCTCGGAATTACCACCCCTCGCAGAATTCCCCCCCACATACCCCAACAGGCAAAAGCGGGATCAATCTCCAAAAGGGGGAACCGAATGTACGTCAGATATGAGTGCGGGCGAGCAAGTGACCCACACTTTCTGATCTCGGCCTCTGATAAGTGACGCGATACTCCGCAAGGGCAGCCGCACTGGAAGATGAGAACGGCTCTACTCTAATACGTCGCGCTGCGGGCGTTGCACGACGGCGCGCATCGTACCACTAGGACGCCGCCTCCGCTCGTAAGGACGCTGTTCCGCACTAAAACGTGTTCAAACGCTAATGTTTGTCCGTTTGGCTTAGTTGGCTCCACACCACGTTGCATTTTCGTTGATCCAAATAGCATTCTACCCTCCATTAACATCCAATTACGGCGATCCCCCCACTTATGGAAATTTCTTTACCAGCCCGCAAATGACCTACGAGGAAGAAACCCAACAGCCGCTGCGTTCTACAGAATCCGAGGATCTTTCAGCCAGCCTTGAGTTTTTTACTCGACACCCCCTCGAATTTCACACTGTCCTTTGTCTGTAAAGCGCAGGTTTCGCACCATTTAGTCATTTCTATGATGCACGGTAAATAGGCCTACTCATCGTTCGTGACAATATGGTTACTTACCGTATAAACTGACTGAAATGCGAAACTCTAACAAAAGTTCAATAAAAACAAAATTCCCCGACGTGTCGAGATCAGCTCTATCCCTTGACCACGGGTGACTATGGGTTGGACGGAGGGGGATGCCGGTCATGTAGGCCGGTTGCGATCGCTGCGCCCCGATTGTTTCGCGAAGTGACGAAGCCCTGATACAGACGCTTGGGAGAGTGCCCGATGGCCTTTTAATGTCACCGTTTGTTGTCTCCCTGTTCTAGGATTCTAGGTGCAAACGTTTACGCCAGTGTTGTTCCATGCCCAGGGTCACGCTTTTGTCGAATGTTACGCTGTGACTCAGTTTCGCTGCGTCCTCGCTGACGTTCAAGTCAGCGAGGGCGCTGACTTGAACGTCGTTCTTCTTTACGTCGAATTTTCGGCGGCGGCAGCGATCCGGCAAGTTCTTGGTTTCCCCCACGTCGGTGGCAGGGCAGTCCGCGCACGGGATACGATACATGAGAGCTTGGGTCTTCTCCTTTCCCGGTCTGTCCTTGGGGAGAAGAAGTCGGTGACGGATGGTGGACACTGGTTTGCGAGTGACCGCAATCCCATGTTTTCGAACGACGCGTCCGATGGACTCGCTGACGTTCCTCACGAATGGCAGGCACAGACGGCTCGAAGGAGCCGGGACTATAGAGAGACGGGGGACGGCGCAGCTTCTTGTAGACTCGGTTAATGAAACCTTAGGTGTAGCCGTTGTTTTGAAGGGCGGCCTTGAGCTTGTTGGCCCCTTCCGCGAAAGATTTCTCCGTCGAGCGTACGGACATGGCACGTCTTAACACCGCAGTGACCACCGACTTTTTGTGGGCAGTGAGTCAAAGTTCAAGTGCCTTCCGGTGTGCGTCGGCCTCCTGTACACCGAGAAGGACAGCTTGTTTTGAAGTCTTCTTCACATTGATGTCCAAAAGCGGAAGCGCGTCATCTTTCTGGCGTTCCACCATGAACTGAGTAGCGGGTTCGACCACATTTAATTGTTAACAAAGACGGTCGATTTCAGTCTATTAAACTATGCAAAAGCAGTCGTGTACATAACAAAGAAAGATATTCGGGTTCGGCACGAACATAGCAAGGGCTCGATTCTCAATACGTTCCATGGCAAGGTTGGCCGTGGTGACCGAGATAGCTGCTCCCCTAGCGGTGCCGCTTGTCTGGTTGAAGAGGAGCCTATCGAACGAGAAGTAGGTGTTTGTGAGGGACAGCTCCAATAGACGGCAGATCTCGTCAACGGACAAGCAGCTTCGGTCCGCTAGACTCGTGTGATTTATAAGCGCCGTCCTAGCCACGGACAACGCAAGTGGCACCGAACACTGGTAAAAAGCGACACAATGTCGAACAAGATAAGAGCCTCGTCGGCGTGTACTTGAAGCCCATTAACGGGTCGATGAAATGAGTAGAGTTCATTACGTACGTGGGTGTGTAACCGGTGAGCGGGTACATCAGCTGGTGCAGTTACGTCGACACTGCGCGAAGCGGGGATGGGGTTAAGTCAACAGTGGGACGGAGTGGCGCACCGGACTCGTGGATCTTGGGGAGGCCGCCAGGTGGCTTGGGCAGACCCATTTCGGCTTATCAGCCTAAGGTAGAGACCACGAACGTCCGGGTGTTTCTTGAAGATGATGGAGAATGTCCTGTTGACAGTCTCCTGGATATTTGCAGTTAAGTCCTTTCGCAGTGGCGTCTACGCAGAAATGAAAAGGAGTTTCGAATTTCATTAAGTCCATTATTTTCCTAACCAGACAGATTTCTGCCAAAGGTGTTCACTTACCGTAATTTAAGCATACAAATCATGGTTTGCGGCGACTAAATGCGAAAAGCTATTTCGGTCTGAAGTTTTAATGACTCCTTGTTTCATATAAAATCTGAACCAGCTCACCTGCATGCTTTTGCTTCTTGCAAACGTTTACATTTTTTAAATTTTTATCCGTGTTTTTTGGTCGATTTATAAAATTGTATATCACCAAATCTCCGAAATACTTTTCAAGGGAAAACATAAAAGTAAAAATGACTGCCCACACGCCCGATGGAAATGCGATAAAAAATATGATAAGAACAACTAAGGTTCCGACGGCAGAATGTAAGTACGCAGATGCTTCTTAGCACACTCAATTAATATATAAAACGGTTTACCAATTTCCTTGTCAAAAAGTTTTCTTTAATTAATTTGAAGTGTTCACCGGGAGGTAAAGAATCGATCTAGAATTTTTTTCTTTGAAATACCTAATAATGGTATCAGTAATCCGCAGGTGTAGCGACTCCCAATAGTTGTGTCTCAGCGCTCATGACGCTTGTTAAATGCATTGTACCGGCAATACTTCCTGAGGTGATAAATTATTAACTGGCTTTGAACACTCGTGATCTTGACTATTTTGTGTGGAAAAATATAGTTTAGGACGCACACACAAAAAAAAATAATACAATTACGACACAATTTATTCCCTAAGGCCGTGAATATAAGGCCTTTAAATCTGCTTTCATAATGACTCATTTATACTATTACTGCTCTCAATTAGGACGGCCCAAGGAAGGTAAAGTCTGAATATTTAAGCCCTAGGGCAAAATGAAAGTATATTAACGAACATAACGACAACAAAACTCTACGTTCTCTATCCTAAACTATGATGCTTTCTTCCCTTTTTAAAAGCATCGAGACCATTCTCAATATATATTACTAAAAAGGGGTGTGACGCGAGTGTAGCTAGTGCACAAACAGGAACTTGTTTAAAAGGGCATTCACTTGAGGTAATTAAACGCATAATGAAACATTGGCAAATTTTAAGCATAATGAACTTTATTACGCAGCATAAAATTATATGTTTATTGTATCTTCAATGCTTCGCTGCTCGTGTGTTTTGAAATATTCACACGTTTTAAGGCCCGTTGACACACTTGCAACCGAGTACGACTGAGAGAGGCAAGACCTGATGAAACCTCTTAAAACTTCTTAGGGCTAGAAAACACACTGGCACACTGGCGCCATCTATGCGGTGACCCTGGAACTGCATATCACAAAACTGAAGGTTTTGCGGGATATCCGAGGTTAAATGTGCGCAATACGTATAAGAAAGGCTAGTTTATAACGTTGACAGAAGTTTTTTCGAGTCAAGAAAGAAAGGATCGTGCGCAAGAAAAATAGATAATATGTGGGACCGCCAAGTTCACAGTGCTACACAGAAGATGTGCCAGTGTGTCCTCTCGTCGTAAGAGATATTAAAAGGTTCCAAGGCACTCGGTCTTAAGAAGTCAAAAGTGTCTGAACGGGTCTTTGGGGTTAATCTAGAATTATGCGGGAATGTTTAATTTTGTACACTGCTCTTCTTATTTTCAGTACTCTACAATCAAAAGCTAGTGTTTTCTGACGATAGAAGTTGCCGTGTTCTCACTTATGACTACCAAGGGGACACATGTAAGTTAAACATAACCTCCATGGGTTAACTTACTTTTTTTGCGAATTTCTAAGGGATACAATTGATAATTATTTTGTAAATGTAATTTGCCTTATCATCCCTAAATATGAAACTAGAAGAGCATTAAAGCATGCTTTATAAACAATTTTGTTTTTACGTTTACTGCCCTATAAATCACTGTCGTTTAATTTTAAGATTTAACGAAAACAAATTCCATACTTGTTGATGCATTTAAAGGGACACTCACAGGGTATTTATGCTCACCAAGGTTTTTATTTGTACATAACGAATGAGAGCCCAACTACCCAGAACACAATTTGTGGCTCAAATTTTGTTTTCTTTCCGCCCGAAAACCGCCGATCGAGAACTGGCCGGATTGAGTCGTAGTCACATGCCGTGTCCTATGGTTTAGACACAGCCAACAAATATAATCAAATTCGTGGGTCATCAAACGCACCCACTTAATACTACAAATAGAAAAGAAATATTTCTTTTGGCTTCTAAAAAGCCGCAACTACGTTAATTGAAGAAAAGTTGCACAGTCATGTGACCTCCGCCAACACTCTCCTCCTCTATATTTCTTATCCCTCCCCAGTCCAGTTTCGTTTCCAGTTCCGGCTTCGAGCAGTTGCGTTTTTTTACTTTATTAAAAATATACGTGACGCTGTAGCAAAATGTTGATCGGGTAGTCTTCGGCCACCATAATAGATCACCTGGCAAAAAATAAAACAAAACTTTTTAGGGCTGTCAGCGTCACTTTAAAATATTTGTGTCGCAGTATAATACTCCGCACAGTAGCAGATTAGAATGTTGTTAACGCACGTGTCTTAATGCGTTGCCGATTTTTAACGGGCATTGCAGGAGGCGTGTATCGGGCACAACACAAGCACCTCTTTCAGAACGCTTAGGCTCAAAGCATTGCAGAGGTTGCATTTAAAGGCACGGGCCAGCAAAGTTTCGATGTCGGTCTGATATCTTGGGCAGACCACAGCAAGAGCCACCCGAAAAATGTAACACTTTTATTTGAGATGAAATAATATGATGAATTGCATTTAGCCGCAAACACACGAGAACACAAATTTAGAATACTCATTTCGACAAGTCACACTTTCGCACCAACATATTGCAACCAATTTACCTATTTATTTATTTAGATTAAATCTACCGGCGGCCTTCCTTAAGGGCCAAGGCATGAGTCAACGACTTCTAGGGTCTATTTCTCTTAAAAATACATATCTTTGCTTTTGACCCATTAAATAGAAATTAATTTATGTTTGTAATACAGGTTTATTTTCTGTACATCGTAAAAAGTAATGGACAGGTTTTTTCTTAGTTTTACAGATAAGACACATGTTTACACATGTTCCTACATACTCGTAAACGCTGAGCTGAGGAAAATTAAAACAAAACAAAAAAGACGAAGAGAGCTAGACTCTAAACTCTGCTGAAATTTATTGATTTGAGCTCACCAATAAATAGACTTCAAGACACAGGAAAAGGAGGGAAAGAAGGAACCCAAGTGAAAAAACGGGGAGCATGCCACATTCTATCAGAGAGACTATGCCACTCGCCAGGGTCAACATCTGGAAAAGAAGCCGACTTCGACCACCGAACAACCCCACACTCCCCAAGGTCGCGCCACGCAGGGAGCATTCGAGAGCTCCAAAGCCTGAAGGGCAATCCACACACTTGCGTTAAGTACGACGGAATGCGAGGGTTGCTATGGCAAAAGCTGCGTCGGCTCCAACGCAATTGTTGCCATAGCAACCCTCGCACTCTGTCGTACTTAACGCAAGTGCGTGAATCGCACTTAAAAGCTGGTTCACACACTTCAATGAGTCCGACGAAATTCGACTGCAACGTTAATCCTTTTTTGGATTGTTATGGCAAAGGGGTTTAAGCCGCTTACACTCGTTATTGCTGCTACGCGGCGCGGACTTAAGAGGCTTCCGAACCGGTTGCAGTTGCACTCGGTCTGGCTCGACGCAAGTGTGTGAATTGCCCTTAGAGGGCTATTCAATCTGTTGATTCGGAGCACAAATCCAAATGTCATCAACAAATTTCGGAACCAATAGGTTATCAGTCCCCAAAGGAACCAACAAATTCTGCCATTTTCCTATCCAGAGTGTCGAGATGAAACTCCGACAATACTGGAGCCACCACCAAACCAATACTTTACGTCAGTGTTTCTTTTTTCCATAATAGACTTACAAGTATGCCGTTTCCAAATCAGCTCTCCTGCACCCTTTCACTTCTTACATATACCTTTCAGATTGTCAATTGTGGCTGATTCATTCTGCAGTAAGAGGAGCTATCCCACGAGCTTGTAGCCATGCCTACGACCAGCACTGCCAGACAAAGCACAGTATCTTCCATGCCCAATGTCTATAACATTGCATCTCGCTCCGCACACATTCAATTAAGAGTGAATATTTGTTTGTGAGTGTGTGAAGAATAAAGTTATAATTTCATGAATTTTGGTCTTATTTGTGGTCATTATATTTGATATAAATAGCAAAAGTCTGATCGTGAATAATCAACGTTTTATATTTATATTTAGATGTCGATGCGCATATATGCAATATAAGTTTAAGATTTATCATCTAAAGAAACTGTCCGGAAACAATTATGTGTGCCATATCACCATGCAATAAAAATATTAGTGCTAACAGTACTATTCTGACACAAAAAGCGATAAAATAAGTGAGATCTGCCTAAAAGACTGGGTGTAAATTCGGTTTTTTGCTACATGTACTCATAAGAATTGAGACGTAAAGGAGGAAAGAGAGCCATCACAGCCTGTCTACGTTTGGCAAGATTAAATCACTCGGTGACTGAGTAGCTGGTCTCTGGCATTTATGTGTGCAACGCTTTCACGACACTTCAGAAGAGTGGTGTTGTGCGCCAGTTAGTTTACCATGTATGATTAAAAGTTTCAAAAGGAACAGAAGGACGACGAGAACCAGAACAGGAAAGGCGCAACCGTACACTCACAGACAAGTTTTTAGAAAAGAAAGGTTCCAAACATCCACACAAAGTGTGCTACGACGAGAGCTGTAAAAGTTACTCATGAAATGTAATTAAGTTACAGTTATAGTTACTTGAGCAAATCTAATTAAGATACAGCTACAGCTACACAGTTAAAATTATAACTCGTTAAAGTTAGTTACTAAGTATGCAACAAAGTTACATAGCACGTACTACGACCGAAACGCACAGGCGTACGAGGTTGCTCGACAATGATGCTCGGGGTACTTTCATGCAGGGATTCAAACCGTAACCGAAACCGAAAACCGTTTAGGAACGAAATATTTTCAGTAGCCATAACCGGAACGAAACCGTTATATGAAATTTATAAAAAGATAACCGTAACCGTAACCACAAATTATTTACCGGTAACCGGTTTTAACTTTTAACCGATAGTAACCGATAGTAACCGAAAACGTGGAGGAGGGATCTTGGTGTGTCGTGGCTTTTTCACAGAGTTTCTGTCAGCGACTGGTGCATCTGGTAATATATTTCGGTTCAATCTAACATTAGGGTTAAGAATGCTTGGTCGTAATCAGTGGTCTATCGTATAATAAAAAAGTATATTTCTAAATATGTAAAACTCCTACATCGCTACGCGTATTACGTACGTACATGTCGCCTTCAGGGCATTAACTAATAAGTGAGAATTCTTAGATGTTCGACAGAACCAACTCGGTTCTGTCGAAACCACCGATGACGACACGAGATAAGTTGACCATCATGCAGAGCTGGCGGAAAAGAAAACCTGGTATTCATTTAGTCCAAAACATTGCGCGCCTGAGAATTTTGAAACAACACAGAAAGAAAAAAAATGTTAGAGGTTTGACATTGGCGTTTTGATATATATATATATATATATATATATATATATATATATATATATATAGTGAGGTCACGTGACCCTCGTGAGGCGACGGCGACGCCGCTTGGAAAGAGGAGTATCAGACAGGATGGGGACGTGAGGAGGAGGGAGGAGGGGTATGTATATATACAGGGTGTTGTTTTTTAGTCTTACACATTTGTTTAGAAAACACCGTGAAAGATACACTAATGTGGTTTGTGCAGTTGGGTTATACGGCCAGGCGGACATTATGTAAAGGCTAATCTTTGCGATAGGTCAGCTAATTAATGAAGATTCGTTGAATAACTCTTTTAATTATTGAAAATAGACAAATAGTTCCAATCAGAAACTTGCTGAGCATCATCGATAACTACCAAATCAAGTATTTTTAGAAGGATATAACGCCGGGGCAGCATTTTGTGGCGTTCTGTAAAAACGCTTCATTTGAACGCGTTTCTAGATTTCGGTTTCCTATCGGAGCGCAGCTTTGCACCCACGGTCTTGCTCCCCAGTGGCTGAGACCCGCAACACACGTGCGCCCTACTTCCCTTTCCTTCTAAATGGAAGGCGAGGGCGTGGCTTCGCGCCGCGACCACCGGGGTGTCCCCTATATTATTATATATCGTGGCGCATGTTCCAAGAAGAACAATCCTTTTTTATTTCAATATCCTGACATGTTTAGTTTCTAAAAAAAAAAAAAATCTCAAAGAAGCGGGAAAGAACGACGACGTTTTGACGATTGTCGTGTGTGGCGTTTTTGAGTCACTCTCAATCAAAGTATTCAAACTAGAGCGTCTATATTTCTTTAGTGTGATTTATATGTAAGTAGGTAAGGCGACATTATAACTACTATTTATTATTCGTCGCTCCAATTTTGTAAAAATCCGCAAACATGTCTCCGCGAACAACTGTGATCTAAATTGCAGATTTGTTTTTCTTTTTTTTTTTTGAGTCGGCTCTGTTTAGTATGACTTTTAAAATAATACCACGTATAGAACCTTTCATTGCCTTCCAAATTAAGCAAAGTATGTGTTTTTATCTGTATGAGTACTCAGAAATACATTATGAAACAGACAGGGTTTTCACTTGTCATTCAATTTCAACACGTTGTATAAAAAAAAAAATAATTTTTTCGCGTCCCGTTTTTTTTTTTTTTCGCACCCTTGTTTAGCCAAGAATACATTCCGTTAGAGGCATTTGCTTTGGTTTTGAGTATTAAGCCTCTAAATATGCTAAAAAAGAGCAAATGCCGATTAACTTCGGTTGGTTTTCTAACTGGCACGGTCTGTCGAGTCTACCACGTACCGCCATCCAGGCGTCTTTTGGAGTGACAGAGGCGAGGCGAATCAAAAGAATTGGAACTGAATCCGGCTTTTTGGTCAGACGGTGAGTTGCCAGGATATCCGAGGACCGAGGTTTTGGAAGGTTAAGTGGCTTAGCAAGATTGCTCATGACCTTCATTAAATCCTCACCATGAGAGAGCGGAAGACCATGCAGTTCCATGTCGGAACGGCGATTGTATTGTTGCATATCATTAAGCTCGTCTTTCAGTCGCTCAATGGTCTCCGACGGCTCTGTCATTGTTGCCTTAACCATGTTATCCTCGTTTTGCATATATTTAACTGCTTCCTTATTCGTCATAGCCAGAGCGAGCACGGAATTGTACTTCAAGCTAAAAGAGTCAAGGGTCGTTTGTAATCCTTCGACCGTGTCATGGAGCTCTTCGACGGCTGGTTTTAATGCCAACAACTGATCAACCTTAGATGGTAGAGGCAACAGCGTCTCCATACCTGTACTCATTAAAAAGAGTTGGATAAGAATGCCATTTATTGATGCTAGCTGACTGGCGAAAGGTGCGTCATCGACAATCTCCTCCCTGCTGCCGCCGGTACTTGAGGAGTCCTCTACTGAAACGTTGCCGCTAACATCTGGTGCCCTGAGGGCGGCGACGGTACGGCAAGTGGAACAATTCCAAGTGTCTAAGTGTCTCTTCTGACAGTGCCCTGGGCACTTGAGGTCCTTCACCCACCCAGTCGATCCGGGACTCACTTTGGGTAGCCGTCGGACTGCACATCGGCGGTCGAAGCTTGCCCGTTGGCGCTCTTTGACCTGAGGGTCGCGTCTAGTCGCGACGGTGTTGTTTTTGACTTAGCCACGAGTCAGAAGATCAGGGTACACCGGGACCCGTGTCCGCAGACGTCGCCCCATGAGGAGTTCGGCTGGACTCCACCCTTTCGGACCCGGGGTATCCCAGTACGCGAGTAGAGCCAAGTAGGGGTCCTCTGCTTTCTCAAGCAGACTCTTCATAGTCTGCACCGTGCGTTCGGCCTTTTCGTTCGCCTGAGGATGATGATAGCTGCTGGTAGTGTGTTAAAAACTGTAGTTCCGCGCGAACTCTGCGAAAGCATCACAAAAGAACTGTGGTTTAATGTCGCTTGCTACCGTTGCACGTATCCCATGGCGGGCGAATATGCTCTTCAGACGTTCAATGACTGCCTCAACTTTCGTCAACGATAGAGAGGAGATCTCGGGAAAGCGAGACTGTAGTCAACGCAGAGCAAATACCCCTTGCCTCGTAGATGGAACAAGTCCCGCCCAACCATTTGCCATGGCAGAGATGGCGTCACCGTTGGCATGAGAGGTTCGGCGTTTTGCTGACGTATTTTCGTGCACACAACGCAACTACTGACAACTCTTCTCAGCTCGGATGACAGGCCTGGCCGCAAGACAGCTTCATTCGTGCGCAGCCTGCACCTTCTAATTCCCTGATGTCCCTCGCGAAATCGGTTCAATACCTCCTTCCTTCAGAAACCAGAAATAAGGACGCGTGTTCCATAGAATAGAAAGCCTTCGCAGTGGGACAGGCTTCCTCTGTACTGCAAAAAGGGCGACACGTCGAGAGGAAGTCTTGACTTTGATGGCCATCCGTTTATGCAACACTCCCGGATCCTCTGATAAACTTTGTCTTTCTTTTGGGCTTCTTTGACTGGATGCAGGGTGCTGCTTACGAGCCCCAATCGCTGCTCCAACCGAGAAAGGCTGAACCTTTCTGCAAGTTAGTGTCTCCGCTGGCTCTTCCTCACTCACCGGAGCTCTTGACAGAGTATCAGCCGTCGAGATGATCTTGCTAGGAACACACTGCATCCTGTAGCTGAGCCGCATCAGACGCATGCGAAAGCGCCGGATACGAGCAAGCAACGCCAGGTTGAAAGTAAGAGAACAGGGACTTATATGGTAAGAGCAAGGAGACGACAAAATTAGGTGAAAACCGGTGCCGATGCTTCCAATATCGCCCAATTTTATTTCGGTCAGTCTGATATTCACAGCCATAAAGACAGTCCAGTACTTTTGAGCAGAGATGGTAAAATTACTTTAAAAAAGTAATTAAATTACATTACTAATTACTTTTCTGAAAAATGCAAAAGTGTAATTAAATTACATTACAACTTACCGCGGACTAAGGGTAATGACACTACATTACAATTACTTTCCAAAAATAATGACACTATGTAACAGTAAG